CTCTCTCTCTCTCTCTCTCCCCTTAAAAAAAATAACTGAGGCACAGGGGCTGGGATTGTGGCTCAGTGGTGGAGCACTTGCCTAGCATGTATGAGGCACTGGGTTCGATCCTCAGCACCACATAAAAATAAATGAATAAAATAAAGGTCCATCAACATCTAGAAAAATATTTTAAAAATAACTGAGGCACAGATAGAAAAGGAAAAATCAAGACAAATAGGATTTACAATATTAAAATTTTTGTGCATGGAAAGATGACCTCAATCGAGTAAAACATCAACCCATAGAGCAAGAGAAGATATTTGCAAATCACTTATCTGGTAAAGGATTAACATCCAGAATACGTAAAGAACTTCTAAAACTTGACAACAAAAAACAGCTCCCCTAATTCAAAAATGGGCAAAGAACTGGAATAGGTAATTCTCTAAAGAAGACATCCAACCAGGCACAGTGGGGCACACCTATCATCACAACAGCTCGGGAGGCTGAGGCAGGAGGATCAGAAGTTCAAGGCCAGCCTCAGCAACTTAGTGAGGCCCTAAGCAACTTAGCAAGACCCTGTCTGAAAATAAGAAATTTAAAAAGGGTTGGGGATGAGGCTCAATGGTAAAGTACCACTGGGTTCAATCCCTGGAACCAAGAAAAGAAGAAGGAGAGGGAAAGACATACAAATGGTACATATAAACCCATGAAAAAATTGTTCAATGTCAACTTCCCACTAGAGAAATATGAAGTGAAGCCACAATGGAACAGCACTTCACCCCCACAGGATGGCTGTGACAGAAGAACAGTGACAACAAAACCCCAAAACAAGCGCTGGTGAGGACGCTGGGAACCTGGAGCCTTGCGTGTGATCCGCGGGAACACAAAATGGTGGAAATCAGTGTGGCAGGTCCTCAGAAAACTAAATCCACCATTTGATACAGCAATTCCCCTTCTGGAATTAAGTTTCCAAAAGAACGGAAAGCAGGGGATCTGATAGATCCGTGAACACCAGCCAAAAGGTGACAAAGACCCAAGTGTCCCTTGACCCATGAGTGGATAAACAACATGTGACAGACCCACACTCTAAAATGCCACTCGACCTTCCAGAGGAACGGAATCCTGACACGTGGAACCATGTGGATGGACTTTGGAGGTGTGATGCTGAGTGACAGAGGCCAACACAAGGAACAGAAACCGCCTGCTTCAACCTAGATGAGGATGATCAAAACCCTGGACAGAGAAAGTAGACCAGATGTTCCCCAGGGCAGGACGAGAGGTGGGAGGGAGTCCCTGCTCATGCCCACAGAGCTCCAGGGTGGAATGATGGGAACGTGGAAGAATGGCAGGGAAGACAGGGAGTGCGATGGGTGCACAATAGAAATCTGCCGAGTGCCACTGAGCTGATGCTTACAAATGGCCGAGACAGTGAGTTTTATGCTGCAGGCATTTTCCCACAAGAGAAAATAGCAGAGACAGAGAGGAGAGGGGAGGGAAAGAGGGAGGGAGGGAGGGTCAGTCAAGAGAAGGGAGGACCCGTCAAGAGGACTTCCCACCCACTGACTGCAGTGAAGGAACAGGAAACGTCTAGAATGAGTCCCATGTTTGGGGCTCATTGGGGAAGGAGTTGGAGCCATTCGGTGAGAAAAGAATTTTCCAGGGAAATTCAGGTTTGGGGTTCAAGTGGTTCTGTTTCCAACAGAGGCTGAGTCGGAGGTGCCCTGGGCTCCCACGTGGTGCGGTGTGGGAGCAGCTCCAGGGAGACAGGGGTTTAGAGCTGTCCAGGTCTAGGGGTGGGCGAGGTCAGGGGGCTGAGGAGAGGACTGAACAAGAGTGAATGAAGTGAGCAGCAGCCGGGGCCAAGCAGTGTCCCCCCACCCTGTGCCCCCTGGAGAATGTCTCCCTGTCCATCCAGACTCACGGCCTCTCTGCCTGTTTCTCCAGGAAGCCCTCTTCACCAAGCAGAGCGGAATGTTCTCTCCTCCGGGTTCCCCTGATGCCTGGTTGTCACTTTGGCTGTCACACCTGTCACGTGGCTGTTATCATGTGCTCACAGGTCTGTCCACCCCTCTCCCCCAGCTCCCAGGACCCCTAGACTGCAGGGCAAAGTTCTAGTCATCTCGAGTCCCCGGTGCCTGGCACAGTGTTCACTGAAAGTGCACTGGGTGAATGAATGACCAAAGGACGATTCTCTCCCAGGCTCGTGACATTTTCTGCATTTCTTTAATAGCTCTAACTTTCTCGGCCCCTCATCTGATCTCTTCTGTGACACTCTAATCATATTCTACCTTCTCCATATTTATAGTCTTACATCATCTTCTCTGTTGGACACCAAACTTCTTATAGACATGTAACTTGCCATAGTGCCTTGAACTTGGTAGGTGGTAGGTGCTCAGTGATAGTCACTGGAGAATGAGCAAAATTCCTTTATAAGAAGCTCCTGGCCTTCCAGATAACTTGTAAAGGGAAATACATTGAAATCTCTAATAAAGGGCCTTTGCATCAGTTAGCTATCACTGTGTAACAAATAACCCCAAAACCCAGTGTCTTAAAACAGTAGTCATTTATTATCAGACCTTGCCCTTTTCAGGGCCAACAAGTTGTATGCTGAACAAAGCTGGGCTTGAATGAGATGAAGGAAGGAAGGGTCAGGGTTCTGTTGATCTCACCTGTGGCTTCTGCTTCTGGGGGTTGGTTGGGGGTGCTTCTCCAGGCTTGGCGTCCTAGTTGGAGTAACATTACTGACATCTCTCTCATCCTCTTCTAGAGTTCAGCAAGCTAGCCCAGAATATTCTTCTCAAGGCAACGGCAGGGGACCTAGAGAATCAGTCAAGCTGAAATCATTTGAGCCCTTTTTAAGACTCAGCTCATCTCATTTGTCTGTTAATATCCTATAGCAACAGGTACTGAGAGGAGTGGAAAATTGGGGCCATTAACTCAATCTGCACCTGCAGAGGGCTGGACAAACAGGATACTGGCTTTGTGCTCTCTGTCCACCCCAGAGGGCCTTGTCATTTTGGGGGTGAACTTCCGAGGTGTCACTTCCTGGGTGAACGTGGTGTCCTCTGTGGTAACATGACCCACGGGCCCTGCTGCTGTGGTTTGTGGATTCCTCCCTCTATTGTCCTGGGAGCTCCTGCCTTATTCTTCAGGGTCCCAGAGTGGATGTCAACAGCTATCTCTTGAGTGCCCTAGGGTGGCACGCTCCGGGTCACCAAGACCTCTCCATTCTCTCCCTCCCTCCGCACCTTCCTTTGACCCTTTGACCCTCTACTGGGCCTTGCTGGGTAGGCCGATGTGTTTACAGCTCATTGTTGCCACGTCATGTGGCTGACTCTCCACTAACCTGTATCAGACCCTGGAAAACAGTCATCTCGAAAGATTAGACTTTTATGTACTCTGAGTTCTGAAGGAAGCTTCCAGAACTCTTGAAGTTGTGCCATTTGAACACTCTTGAGGGTGACAAATCTGTGCCTTGTTGAGGTGGATGGAATTTTTGGAAACAGATAACAGTCATTTGGATCCAAAGCTGGTGACTAAGGTGGGTGATCAAGCTGGGTCAGACTGGGGACAAAAATGAAACGTGGTGAGGAAGATATAAGCCCGAGATTCCTTCATAGTCTTAAATCTGTCCCTGAAGACAGCCCGAAGGAGTCCCGGAGGGAAGCAAAGACCACGTCTGAGCGCGGCTACCCCTCCCCTCCCGAGGTGTCTGTTGTGAAGTGGCCCAGACGCCACTGGACCAGAACATTCTGATCTCATCTGCTTTAGCTGAGAGTCTCAGACTTTTGAATCCTTTGAGCCTCTGATGAAAGCACTCACTGTGCAGAAAAATGCTCATGAGCTCGTAGTTAGCTTACAGTTTGGGGAGCCCGTGGGTCCCAGGATGATGAGCAGATTTAAGGTCCTGGAGACCCCTAACTACGGTTTGCTTGTTTCTTGGTTTCTGCCCACACCCACCGTGGGGAGCCCAGCACAGGCCAGGGCGGTCACCTAACAGGTCTGCAGAAACAGTCCCTGTAGGATCTTCTTGGCTGGGAGGTGACCTTTGCGAGGAGCCTGCGGGGCCAGCGCCTCTCCACTCAGCCCTGCCATCGGGTGGAGCCCCCCTCTCAGAACGGCTTCTTCTCGGCCTCCGCCAGGATCTCGCTTGGGAAGAAGCAGGAACGAGCCTTGGGGTTCCCATCCAACTCAGAGGGACAGGCAAAGAACAACCTTGACTTTGGGCACACAAGGACAAGGCCAGGCCAGCTCAGAGCTCGGGTGCCTCTCCCTTCAGGCTCGGAGGCAGCCAAGGGCACCCGACGGGGAGCTGCAGGCCATGAGGCCTCGCAGCCACAAGAGGGAGCCGTGGGCTCTGAAAGGACCAGAAGTCTGGCTGTGATCCTGTCTCCCGCCTTCATCCCCCCAACACCCACGCAAGCTCCCGGATCCTGGGGTTGGTGTTGATGGTGGAGGTGGGCAGTGGGGCGGGTGCAGGGCTCAGGTGGCCACCACTGAACCGGTTCTCGCTGCCTGGGTAGAGGTGCATTGGCAGAAGGCCCAGGACACCCTTGGGCCGGGGGGTGCCCACCCCCAGTGCCTCTGAGCTGGCAGTTGTTAAAGCATGCTTCATCCCTGCTTGGTTTTCTGTTTCTTTGTGGCCAAAGAAGCCCAGAATCAAAGGGGAAGTGAGAAAAATCGAGACAGGCAAAGGACACCTAGAACTGTCCCTTCTCAAAGCAGCCCCATCCTCACGATGTGTGGGGTGTCCTTCCCAGGACCCTAACTGACTGGTCCTCAAGAGGCTGCTGAGCAACAGGAGAACCTTCAGGAAGAATGGGCCTGAGTGTGTGGTCGGGGTGTCCGGAGGCACCTCCAGAGTCCTGAGCCACAGTTGCCTGAAGGGAGAAGGGGGCTGGGGAGGTCAGGGGAAGGAAGAAGCTGCCAGCTGACCCGCTCTGTGCCCTCAGGGGGACAGGGTGTCCCCTGGTTGGTGTTATCCCTGCCTTACAGGGGAGGAAAAGGGCTCTGAGGGATGAAACCCGGCCTTGCAGCAAAGGGATGTGGCCAAGATCTGAAGTCAGGGCCAACTTCCCGGGAAGCAGTAACTTACACCCCCCCAGGGCCTCTGGGGGCAGGTCTGCTCTCAGCCCCTGAGAGCACAGCCTTCCCCTGACCGCCCCAGCTCTGCGCCCACCGCCTGGACCGACAGCATCCACCCAGCCCACAGGTCTCAGGACCAGCCCAACTTACAGCTCCTGTGCGGAGAGCACCAAGTCCTGATTTCCCAGTCACTGTCCCCAATCAGCCCTCAGGAGGCCCGGGAGTAGGGGTGGGCACGAGGGGAAGTTTCTCATCAGACCCAGGAGTGAGGTGTCCACTGCCCGGTCGGTCAGCAGGGTCTCCACACCAGGGCCTCTCTCAGTGGCTCTGGAGAATGGGCCAACAGAGACTGATGTTCTGCTCTGGAAAGAGGCCCCCCTGCTGCCCTTCGTGGGGGGACAGACAGTTCTGAGAACAGAGCACCCCCTCTGTTCCCACCTCCCTTTCTGAAGACACCTCTGCCCAGACTCAGCCTAGAGGCCCAGGGGGAGGCTTCGCTTGGTTGCCAGGGCAACGGCTCCATTGTTCCTGCCGCAGTTTAGCGCCAGGCCCCCTCAGTCCCTGGACCGGCTCTCCCTACCATTCTTGAGCCACTGGAGCTACAGGACCCCATTCTTCTCCTCAATGCCTCTTTGTCACCTCGGGATGCAGAGGAGGGGGAGACAGGCTGAGTGGTCACCATGCCAACATCACACTGCCCACATCCCTGAGGGGGAGGGGAAGGGAGGGACCAGGGAGGTGTTCAGTAGTCTTGGGGAGCAGTTGGTGTATCCCTTGGGTCACCTGCTGTGGGGGCAGCCACAAGCCTTAGGGTCCGCTCTGGGGGAGGATTTTTTTTTCTAGATTTTTGGCCCAATTTGCCTCATTTTTGCTTGATTAAATGAAGCCTGAATTTCTCTTGCCTGTCTTGAATTTCCAAGCAGCAGGCAGGACCCTGGGTATGGGAGAAGAGCCAGGCTATGCGCACCTGAGCTGGGCCACAGTGCCTCACCCCTCACCCATTCGCTCACTGCGACTCTCATTCCTTCCGCAGCGTTTACCGAGAGGACTCAGGACCACCTCGCCAGCTAAACCCTGCTAGAACCTCATTGCACCTGTGGAAACGTCTGCAAAAGCTAAACAGTCCACGATGCGTCAGGCACTGAGTGTCAGAGGTAGGATTCAGTCCAGGGTCTGCCTGGCTCCAACACCCCCCGCTGCCCTTTGTAAAGCCGAGAAGAGATCACGTTCTCCCCACTATCGACAGCATCTTGACTACAGCTGTAATAAGTAGATTGATTATTGACTAAAAATAAAGCCCTCGTGAGGAACATAAGGGCAGGGTGTCCTGCAGACTGCAGCTGCTTGGTAAGTATTGCAAGGAGGGAAGGGCTCTGTGTTTGGGGTAACCATACAGTGCATCAGGGCGGACACCCGGCGGACAGCCCTTCACTCGTTCATTCATTTGTACACCCAGTTAGTGAGCACCAAGGACTTCCGTGTGCCAGACACCAGGCCAGGCACTGGAGGCATAAGGAGAACGAGATAGATCCGGTTCCGTGTTTGGAGTGAGAAGCCAACAGGTGAACTGCCCGTTCCAAGGCACAGGGGTGAGAGCTAGTCCGGGGGGCTGCGAGCGGCCCCTTCCCCTGGTGTCTGTGACTGAGCTAAAGTCGGAACCCCCTCAGGCTGGCCTCGATGGCGTTTCTCGAGGTCTGAATCACGGATCCACACACTGTCGGAGCTGGATCATGAAATTCTTCCAGTTGGTTCCTACCTATTTTTGGTGGGTCCTCATCCCACCATCACCCACTGTACCATGTCTACATGCCGCCGGCTGTTATTTAACTGATTTTTTTTCTTTATATTGACTCACTATTGAACTCTTTTAAAAACTAACTTTACCTCCATAGCATGTATTTTATGTCATAAAATGCACTCATTGTAAACAGAACCACGTTTTGAGATCTAAGGTGATACAGGCACTGCCATGGACCCTGTGACTCCAAGGCCCAATCTCCTTAGTTAAAAAGGAAATTAGTGACTTGCAGATGAGGACCGTGCTCTTCTGGGGTTGGTAAAGGATCCAAGATGGCGGGTGGCAAACTGGCTCTGAAAACTAGTGACTGGGTAGACCCAGTCAATAGTTTGGGGAGATCATTCCCCCAAACTCAGAGGCTATGGCTAACTCCCCTAAAGTCCTGGAATGAGACCCTCACCTCCAGGTGGGCTACTCTACCTGAGACACCACCAGCTACTGACTGGGCTTACCACCTGGCCAAGGAGGCCAAGGTGGGCTTGGTGGATGACTGAAAAGCAGCTTCATCCCTGAAGGTCCCTGTGCCAGAGGATAAAGGTACTGCCCGGAAGGGTGCTGCAGAAAAGGGAGTCGGACAAAGTTGTGGTCCTCTGTGTCTCTCTCAAAGGCCAGCACTGAGGAACACGAGAAAGAGCTGAGAAAGGAGGAAGGTGATTCCCTTTGTTCAGATGACCACTGAGGACTTGAATGAGGTCTTCCCAGAAACCACGTGAGACAAGAAGAAGGATCCCTATTGGCCTCACCCGCCCACTGAGAATTTATCAAACTGAACCAAGGAGGAAGCTCTGGCCCTTGTATTACAAACTCTGGACATTAAAAATAATTATATAGTTTTAAAAGAGGGAAATTAGCAAGTGCTAGTGAGACGTAGAACCTGACAGTCACCAAACTTTTTTTTTTTTCATTGACTTGGAAAGCGTGGAAGAGGGTTTTAACCGTTCTTGGTGGACCACTGAATGTTATGCAGGGGCTGCCACCCAGGAGCCACCTGACAGCCTCTCAGGAGCCTACACGGTTGACACCAACACGGAGAAACGCTGAGGAGTCCTGATCCCTCCCTGCCCAGGTAACTGTCCCTCCAGAACACAAGTCAGGACCTCAGATGACCTTCATGCATGGTGTTTGGTATGGTCCTCTGTCCTTCCACTGATCCCTTACTGACATCATGACATTGCCATGGGCTCCGCTAACATCCCTCCTCCCCACCCGACCTGCACCTCCAGATCATCACTGCTCGGACTCCTCCTTCTGTGCCTCCACTCAGTCAGCTGGTCTCCACTCCAGAGGGGAGCTCCCAGGGCAGGGGGAGCCCCAAGGGCAGAGATTCCCAGCCTTGCCTTTGTGCAAGGCTCAGCAGGGCCTCAGTCACCACAGTGACTCACTGGCCGCCTCCTGGATTCTCCTGTTGGTCGGCTATTGACATTTTCCCTTCTAAGCACGTTATAAGAGAAAAACAAGCTGGATAGCATTCTGCACAGAGGAGGTAAGATCTACGTCTGCAAATCCTGACCTTCTCCCCACCCTGTTTCTTTCTCTCTCTCTCTCTCTCTCTCTCTCTCTCTCTCTCACACACACACACACACACACACACCTGTTACCTGTGCCTCCGAGTCCACCATTAATGCTTCATTCTTTTATGAAGTATTATTCCAGCTCAAATAAAAAGCAAATTAAGAAAGGAATTTGCTTATCATGCATTCTGATTCCACTTTTGTGAAATGTCCAAACTAGGCTAACATCTAGAGACAGAAAGTAGATTAGTGGTTTCCTAGAGCCAGGGGCGATGGGGATTGGGGGTGGTGGCCGAAGGATATGGGAGTTTTTATTTTGTTTCACATGAGGTGATTGAAATGTTCTATAATTGATTGTAGTGATGGTTGCACAAATACGTGAATATTCTCCAAAACCACTGAATTGTACCATCGAAATGGGTGAATCCCATGGTATGTGAAATATCTTGATGCTGCTGTTACCAAAAGACAAGGTGGGACAGGAGGAGAAGGGAAAGGAAGGGACTGCCCCCTCTCTTTGCCACCCCCCGACAACCCATCTTCTTCCACCGATCACTTCCTCTAACCATAATCAGGGCTCACGGGGCTGTGTGTTGGACAAGCCTTCTTCATGTAGTTCCTTGGGAGGTCGCTTATTCACAAAGCTCAAAAACAGAGGTGACCCTCCGCCTAGAGCCGAAGTTGGAGGCGTGGGGTGTTTCTGGGCTTCACATACTACCCCCAGTCTCTTCTGCCAACATCTCCTTAGGAAACCAGGCCCTCGGTGGATATCACCACCTACCACCTGGAGCCCCATGTTATCAGCCAGCCCCCAGGATCCCCTCCAACCCAAACTCCCTTTGTACTATGCTCACCTGCGTGGGTCCAGGTGGAATAGAGAGATGGTGGAGGAAGTCACTACTTCAACCCTCCACGAGGATTTAAAGTAATGTAACAAGCACAGGGTTTTAAATTCATGGCTTGAAATCTGAAGAACCAGGGACTTCCTATTACTGTCCTAAGAGAGCATCCTGTGATGATTGCCCTAAAATAATACTTGATCCCAGAGATAGTGAGCTGATGTTGCCAAAAATCAGGGGTAGAATTTTATCCTACAGGTTGCTGATTACAGCCTAAGTTGAATTCACAGCCTTACCCGATTTCTTATGTGAGAGTGATTAGAAAGGGCCAAGTCCCCAAACTCAGCACAGCAGTATTTAGGAGAACTCAGTTAACTCTGAAACCTCCAGAACTCCACCAAGCTCTTCTCACCAGTAGAAACCACCTCTCCCCACCTAACAAGGTCGATCCCGCCTTGCCTGAAGACGCCACGGCTCTTCTCTGCCCCCAGTACCTCAGTCATCCTCCACATCCACGCTGAAGACAGTCTCCGTGTCCAGGGGGCCACTTGTCAAGCTGTTCCCAGCAGATGCTTACCTGCCAAAACAGACCAATTTATATATGGATGAAAACCCGGAGAACAGGCAGGAGGAGGAGAAAGAGAGGAGAAGACACGGGTTTCCCTTGAGTACTACCACTGCAGGATAATGGGTATGCTGGGGATGATGGTGGAAGATACCGGCCTGGAAATGTGTTCCTGGGATTTAATGAGGATAATGAGATCCCAGCATTGGCTATGTAGTAAGACTTAGTGGCCACAAGTGGACATAGGAGGCAGCACGGCCAGAGTGGTAGTCAGAACAGAGAGACACACAGGGATCTTTGGTGGCAGCTAATTGATCATGGGTACCAAGGATTAAAATATATGGGGCATGGCTTTAGGGACCTTCTTTTTTAATATTTATTTTTTAGTTTTAGATGGATACAATATATTTATTTTACATTTAGGTGGTGCTGAGGATCGAACCCAGTGCCTCATGCATGCTAGGCAAGCACTCTACCACTGAGCCACAATCCCAGCCCCTTTAGGGACCTTCTTAATGTGTAGCATAATAATAACAATGAACCCTAGAGATCTAGAGATCTGACAGAGTCTGAGGACATCAGAGAGTCTTAAGTCTTCACTAACTTCCCAGACCTGTGTCAGGGGAGGAGAAAGTCTATGTGTTCTGCAGCATCTGACATTGCAAGTTTATTTTATACATCTTCCTCCCAACTCTCCCCCAAGGGAGTTGTGGTCATTTAGTGGAGGGACTGTGCACTGAGAAAAAAAAAAAAGAAATATCAGACTTTTCTGGGTTTATGGCTGACTGAGTTAATGCTGGTCAGGGAGTGAGTGGGAAATAAGAGGAGTCAGGAAATAGACTGAGTTTGGACCCAAACCATTTCATAGTGGTTCAAAGCGATTCATATCTCTGCTTCAG